AGTCAGACAGATACTTTAATAAACTATTACAAGTAAGTTCATACAGTGGAAATTGCAGAGTACAAGCCGGTTGGTTAGGAAAGGATGTGTAGTAAGCTGGAACTAGTTTATAAAGAGTTTCGTGAACCTTGTTAAAGGAAAGCCTTGGATTTTACTTATATTGGCAACCACTGAGGGATTTTATGTAAAAAATTTTATGATAATATTCGCTGTTGTGGGTGAAATGGATTAGAAAGAATAGATGGGAGGAGAAAAAGCCTGGGAACAGAGAGCAAGTTAGGAGGCTGTCGTAATCATCTCTGCGAAAGTGGCTAGATCTTGGACTAAGAGTTATGACAGTATGGTAGGTAGATGAATATAGATATGTTCAAGAACTAAGTGGATGTTGTCATCAACTGGATATGGGCAATGAGGGACACACAGAAGCTGACTGAAGTGGCTAGGTGGACTGATCCATAATGAAGCAGGCCTTATTCAACCACCAGGAAAACAGGGACAAGGTATAGTGCTCTAGGGAGAAGCTAAAGCTAGGCAGGTTGTCAGGGCTCTAGCCAAGTGATTTGGGGTTCAGAGAAGGGCTCTAGTTCTTATAAAGAACTAGACTGTTGTTATGGGCTGAATTGTACCCCCCAAAACTCATATGTTGAAGTCCTAAGCCCAGTACCTGAGAATTTGACTGTATTTGGAGATAGTGTCTTTAAAGAGTAATTAAGTAAAAATGAGGTCATTAGGGTAGGCCCTAACCCAATATGACTAGTCTCCTTATAAAAAGAGGAAATTTGGGGGTCAGCCCAGTGGTGTAGTAGTTAAGTTCGCACGCTTCACTTCGGCGGCCTGGGGTCCGCTGGTTCAGATCCCACATGTAGACCTACACACAGCTCATCAAGCCATGCTGTGGCAGCATCCCATATACAAAATAGAGGAAGATGGGCACAGATGTTAGGTCAGGGCTAATCTTCCTCAGCAAAAAGAGGAAGATTGGCAATGGATGTTAGCTTAGGACCAATCTTCCTCAAAGAAAAGGAAATTTGGGCGCCAGCCTGGTGGCATAGTGGTTAAGTTTGTGCTCTCCACTTTGGTGGCCCAGGGTTCACAGGTTTGGATCTTCTAGCCAAGAACTGGTTCCAAACTCCATCTACTGGCAGGGATAGGGCTTCTAATGTTCCTCCACATTTAATTCTCCTTGGCTCAAAGATAGGGCAGAGCAGAGATACAGATTGAAAGTGTTTAATTCTGATGCTGGACAGAGTTGGAAACAAGCTGGGGCTGACTGGACCATCTCAATTTTTAAAAATGACTAACAGGATGACAACATTGAGCAAAAAGGAATGCTAGATCTAGTCAGAATTGACTCAATAAACAATCAAGATATTTGCTTGTACCTGCGCATTCCTTCGATACTAAGAAATATATGTGCATGTGTATTAATGTCTAGGCTACATACCAAATACCTCACTTCTCTTTGCCTTCACATGCTCTGCTATGGATCAACTGCTAACCTTGCTCCCTTGGGTTACTGTAACTTCCTCCTAACTGGTCTTTGTCTCAGTATTGCTCCCCATTAATGAGGATCAAGTTCAGATCATTTGAGGCATGAATGGGTGCATTGCCATGGTTTTCTCATTTGTTTGTGTACATTTGCCAAGGAACACAATTGCCTAGAAATCTTTCTTGACTCTTTGCTCTGATCTCGTAAGTCCAATTATGAAGTATAGATTCTTCCTTTGCAGTTACTCTCACATTTGTCCTTTCTTTTTACATTTCTACATATCCTAGCTTAGGCTCTTTTTGGATCCTGCCTGAACTACTGCAGTAGGCTCCTTCTGTAACTGAGCAAGGGCTCGCTGCCCAATGTGCACAGAAGCCAATACTATAGCACCAGTTTTTGAGAGAAGAAAGAGCTTTATTACATGGCCCACCAGCAAGGAGACAGGAGGCAAAGCTCATACCTGTCTCCTCAAGCTGAAGTGGCGACAGACTTTTAAGGAGTTTGGAGTGGGAGTGGTTATGTGAAATGTTAACTTGGTGGAATCTGGAGGGTGGGAGGGTAACAGTTTTATAAGTCTGATGTGCTACAAATCAAGGGACCCCTAGCTTCTCATTTCATTCCCTGTTCCACTTTCTCTTAACATTAATTTCCACAGTTAGGGAACTTTTTGTTCCTAGGCAGCTTGAGGTCATCTCAGGACACGGTTTCCATCTTCTGAGCATGCTGCAGCTACATGACTTGCAGTTCTTGCTCCTTGCCCCTGCAAAACAACTTTGATGCATTGTTATTGATACAATAGGATACAATATGGCCAGTACAAATTGGTCTATGATGGTTACACTTATTGTCCTGCTTACCCCGGGTTCTCTCCTTACCACCTAAATCTATCCTATACAACATCTTTAAAAAATATCACTTTGACCACAATGCCATTTTTCTGCTTGTTAATCTTCAATGGACTCTGCCTGCTTATAGCAACAAATTCAAACACTTCTCAGCCTAATGTTTAAGGCTTTGGGAACCTGGCCTCTTCTAACATTTTCAGTCTCGTTTATAATTATCCTAGCTTCTCAACTCCTCAAACACATTGAAGCAGTTTCAGGCATTGCCCTCCAACATGCCTGCCACACAGCCCTGAGCTTCAGATCCTTGTGCTTTGGCTCCTATGCTTCCATTCCTTACCTTCCACTTTTTCCATGCCCCATTTGTCCTTTAAGAACAGCTCGAATCCCAGATATTTTTGCTCATTTTTCTCCTGGTGTAACATGCCTTCTTCTTTGCCTACCCATGCTACCCATCTTTCAAGGCCAACCATAATTGCTACTTCCTCTTTGAAGTCTTTCCTAACCCCCCTAGCATTCAATCCTTTGTGAAAGGCTACTCTAGGGCCATTAAGCGCCAGGTGTCTGAGCCCTGGGGCTCATGGTTGGATAATATATAATTCCTCATTTCCAGGACAATGTGCTCTCCTCACATTTTTTTTTTTGTGTGTGAGGAAGATCAGCCCTGAGCTAACATCCATGCTAATCCTCCTCTTTTTGCTGAGGAAGACCGGCTCTGAGCTAATATCTATTGCCAATCCTCCTCCTTTTTTTTCCCCAAAGCCCCAGTAGATAGTTGTTTGTCATAGTTGCACATCCTTCTAGTTGCTGTATGTGGGAGGTGGCCTCAGCATGGCCAGAGAAGCTGGGCGTCAGTGTGTGCCTGGGGTTCCGAACCCGGGCCGCCAGTAGCAGAGCGCGTGCACTTAACTGCTAAGCCACAGGACCGGCCCCTCTCCTCCCTTTTAGTGCACCTATTGCAGTTATTGCCCAGAGAACTGTCTTTTAATATTACTCAGGAAATTTCTTTTGTTTTGAATTGCCAATTAAATTTCTATGATTTAACTTTTTAAGAAATGACTTATCTTTCCCAGTTATGTTGTAAAGACTTTTCCCCCAACGACCTAGTTTAACTGAGAGAGGAGCAGTATACTATTATGTACCACCCATTGAGGTGGTATTTTTGCTAGTGCTTCTCATAGTGTGACAGGTCTAGCAGTCCATTTTATGTGGCACACAAAAGCCGTGATTTTACAGATATTCTTGCTTAGGATAAAGTAGACAGTGTTCATTTAAGTTTTTTTTTAAAAAGTGAGTTGATTTAAATAAAAAATACTCAATAATAATGGTTCAAGTGATAGTTATGGCAAAAACTGTAGAAGTGGTCCTTCAATGACTGAAATGGCATTATATGATATCACATTTATTTCTCACAACAACTTTGTAAATTAGAAACTGAAGTCCAGAGAAGCATTGGAACTTATTCAAGTCGGAAAGCTCATAGGTGGCAATGCAGGCTTCAGGTGGAGGTACCTAGGTCTCTGACTAAAGCTCTTCAAATTTCCCCTTCACCATGATGCCCTTTTGCATGTGGGAAGATTTAGTTTAATTACTTAAGAGTGTGTCTGATTTGTGTCTTTATACCCCACCTCATCTCCTCAAAAAGATTTACTTTCTAAATTAAATTCTTCACCTCCGGAAAAACATAAGGGGCACCAGAATTTGGCGTATTTCTAAGCACATTTATAAAATATACAAGGAAAAGGACCCGATTTCCTGCCTGGCTGAGTGAAACATTAATTCTTCACCTTGGTACCTCAACCTACAGCTGTAATAAGGGCCGTTATGCCCAAATAGGCCCTTAAACGGAAGACCTGCTGAGCAGAGACCCACTTTCCCAGCCCCGCGTCAGCTTTTCTGCCAACTGACCAGGCGGAAGCAGCAGCAGGGGAGGAGGGACTGCAGGTAGGTGGGGAGGGGATCACTTTGAAAGCCCTAAATCCCTCGCAGGGAAGAAGCAGCTGCTCCTTGTTTTTTTAACATCTGTCCCATCTGTCCCCGGCTGGATCTCACCCTCTGGAGGCTCGAGCTAGCTAAACGTGGATACGACAAGGAAGCATTTCTGAAGGCTGGTTGGTGAGTGGAAATGAGCATAATTGCCACCCAGAAAGTCTCTTCTATTGAGAAGAGGGCCGTTGGGGTTCTTAAAGAGGATGGCTACCACCTTCCTTCATTTTTTCTCACAAAACATACAGCTGTAATTGACGATGAGTCGGGATTTGTAACATCACCCAAATCGGACTGTACGCCCTGAGGATATTATTTCACAAAACAGAGGTACTCTGAGAGCCCAGTTTTTTATTTTAACCTCCAGGGGAGCCACAGGCTGCTGATTTGGGGGAGGAATAAATACTGCACACAGTATACCACCTCTATGGTAGAACAAGCTGTGCGTATCTCGCGCGTGTGGCGTTTATCACATTTAACAGTGTGTTGCTTGTATCTGACTCTCCTGCCAACACGGTGCTCCTCGAGAACAGGGACCTTATTTCTATTCAATAATTTCCCCCTGGTATTGAGAACCGTGACTGGATTCTGGCAGGCATGAAATAGACATTTATGAATGAATGAACGTTAATGAACAAAACATAAAGGAACAGGATGATTCATTTGGTTCTCCGAAGGCGGGTATGGAGGGAGGGGCTTGGAACGAGTGGCCAAGCGAGGCACAGTCCCAAACGCCCACAGCTTCTGCTCCGGTCACCACAGAACCCCGTCTGCTAGCAGGTGCCCTCACTGGGCCCAAAACGAGGCTGCGCGCGCCTGAGAGGCCCCGCCCCCAAGGCGCGGGCGCAGCCACGCCCCCTTCCCGGTCATTCCCTCTCCGAAGTCCGTTCCACTCCTGTTACAGGATTAGGGGCGGGGCCAGGAGGGCGCAGGCGCAATGGGCGGCGGAAGTAGCGACTAGGGAAGCAAGAGGGAGAAGGCTTGGTGCTTTGCGAAGGGCGCAGCGCTCCTCCTCCACTTCCTCCTCCCGCGGGAAGCTCGGGGTGGCCGCCAGAGCAGCCGAGCCCAGGCTCCTCCCCTCCCCGCCCCCTGCCCGGGAGCGGCCTGCCTTCCACTCCGCCCGCCGAGATGGCGCTCGACCCCGCAGGTACCGGGGCGGGAAGCGGGGGTTGCTGAGAAGTCTCGGCCCGGGTCTCTAACCGCGGGCCTGCGGCTGGGGGCGCCCTGGGAACGGTGCCGAGCTCTGAGGTTGCACCGCTTCCGCAGACGTCCCCTCACGCCCGGCCGGCCGCCTTCGGCTTCTGGCCGGCCCCAGCTCCTTCCTTGCGGTCATAGGTCATCTTCGTGCTCCTTGGGGTTAGGGTTAGGTGAAAGGCATAGGGTTTGTTGTTTAAACTCTTGCCCTTACGTGGCTTACAAACATTTTCCTCCTTAATGCTACTGCTCTCTTCATCGTCATCCTCTTTTTCGCCCCTTTGGGGCACAGAGTCCTTTGAATATCTAGCCCAACGTGAAAACAATTCAGAGAATCCATCACTGTGGCAAGAATCAGTTTCTCTGGAAAGGATCGCGCAAGTCTTGATCCATGTTATTTTACCTTTCATGCCTCCACCCCACTTCCACTTGCAGGGATAGTTTCAGTTCCCCCTCGAATTCCCGTCCTTACAGAAGCTCAACTGCGGTGTCTTTGCTTTAGGCTGTTTATGTAGGAATATAGTTAGAGAAGTTCACTTTTGGAGGGAATGGTGATTAGCCCATTTCTTTCATTTTATGGATATGAAAGGTCAAGGCATTGGGAGGAGAAATGGCTTTAAAACTTTGGAGATTCCGAAATGAAAAAGTCACATTGGTGGCCCTCAAGGACAAGGAAACATATGTGTAGCAGACAACACATTTATTGGACACTTTATTATCAAGCTAGGTATTCTTGATTATCCAGCAATAGTATGTGGGGTAGTAGATACTATTTGAGGCTGAGAGAGGATCAGGGAGTACTTTAATTTGAAGCATAAAAGAATTTCCGGAACACGTAATGATCATACCAGTATTGGGCCAGGTGATGGATCAGACTTTATGAAGTTAACGATTGATCTGGACTTTGAAGGATAGAATTTCCAGTGGTTGGAGTTGGAGAAGAGGGGGCAGCGTGAGCAAGTGTGGAGGCAGTAAAGTGCACTGTGTGATGTTTGGTTGCAGGGTGAATACCTTGATTTCTTTGGTGAGGGTAGGAGGGGTGTAAATGAAGGATGGGTAAGAGACTTACCAACCAAGAGGTTGGAAAGTCGATTGAGGCCTATATAATTGTAGTATTTCTGAGCTGGAGTGACATTCAAAGTAATCTCATACAGATGAGGAAATAGACTCAGGGAGGTTAAAAGCTTCCATATGTCTATATTCTTGAATTTAGACAAGGAAGTTTAGAAAAAAAATCTTCATACTTGCTTCTTACTGTCCAGTTACTCTTAACCCACTCCAATCTTGTGTGCCCAAGGCCCCACAGCTAATTGCTGGTAGGGCCAAGTCTGTGTAGAACTCAGATAATTTCATCTCCAGTCCAGTGCTGTGGAGATGCCACCACTTGAATATTTATTGATTAAACAAATACTTGAGTGCCCATCATATGTCATGTATTGTTCTAGGCTCTAGGAAACTAATAGGACAAACAAGATCCCTGCTCCAAATAGAGCTTGTAGTCTAGTGGTAGAAGAAAGAAGGCAAACACCCCCGCACCCCAGACACACACACTTTTACAGCTTGTGATGAGCGGTATGAAGAAAATAAGCAGTTTCATGTGGTAGATGGTGAAGAGAGGACTCCTTTAGGTAGCGTGGTTGATGAGGAGCTCTCTGAGGAAGTGTCATTTGAATTGGAATCTGCAAGACTAGAGGAAGCCGTCATGTGAAGAGGTGGGGAAAGAGTATGCCAGGCAGTCGAAGTAGCAAATGCTTAAAATATTTGACTGGAGTGAGGGCCAGAGTGTGGAGGAGATTAAGGGAAAGATATTGGGAAAGTAGGGAGGAGCTAGATGCCGCAGGGCCTTGAAGGCTCTGATGAGAAAGCATTTGGACTTTTTCTGATGTTATCAAAAGCCTTTGGAGGCTTTTAAAGAGGACAGTGACTTAATTTATGTGTTTACTACCCTGGCTGCAGTGGTAGCATACATTGTGGAGGGATCCTGAGTGGAAGCAGAGAGATAGGTTAAGAGATGGTAGCAGTAGTCCAGGCCACATATTTTAGTGTCTTGGCCTGGGATGGTATTAGAAAAGATAGAAAGAAATGTAGAGCTTTGATAGATGTTTTGGAGGTGAAATTGACAGGACCTGCTGTTGCATTGAATAAGGGTAGTGAGGGAAAGGGGGGCATTAAGGATAATTCCTAGGCTTTTTTCTTTAGCGACTGAGTGGATGGTGATGGTCACATCTAACAACATGATCATTGGAAACTTCAACAAAAGCAGGGATGGAAGCAAGATTGGAACGGAAAGTAAGAAAGTGGAGTCAGGAAGTGGGAAGATTTTTAAAAAAATTTTCTTGTCTCTTTAAATTCCAGACTACAAACGTATTGAAGTCAGCTTTTTTTTTTAACTTCATTTTTGTTTGGTTCATAAATTGAAGCATAGGTTCATGTTTTGATATTTCTCTTGCTTTTTTTAAGTCCACAATGGTATGTTTCCAACTGAGTAGATGTGTTTCTGAGTGGATGAGTAGATAGTTATGCCAAATGAGGTTTATATAGCGAAATCTGTTTTCCCATTGGTTTATATTAGTTTTTTGAGATCTTTATACAAGTTTGATCTTCATTTGGCAGCAGCTTTTAACTAACTTTGTAGAGTCCGTTCTTCTCATGAAACTCTGAACCCAACAATGAAATGCACGTTACATACTTATTTTTATGTGTAGTTTTATTTAAACTGTTTTCCTTTTTGTTAATGTAGAGGTAATAACAGCATTCTTCGTAAGTTTATCAGCCGTAATTATGTTTGTTATTTTCTCTTACTACTTGATTGCAGAGAGAAAAAGCCGGAGAGAGTGTCTAACACCCAGGAAAAGTGGCTGTGGAGAGAGGTTAAATTTTTAAAAAATACTGGCGCCTGGCTTGCACTCCCAGTTATTCAGATTTAATTTGCCCAGGCCTCTGACATTTAAAATATTCCATAGGCAGTTTTTGATATGCAGACAGAGTAGAGGAGAACCACTGTTCTGAACTCTCCCGGTTTTATTGATTTGTCCTTCAGCTTTGTTTCCTTGTAAATTTAATCTTCTCTCTATTCCCAGTGGAAATTCTCCCTACATCTTTAGCCATAAATGGGACCTGTGATTGCATAGTAATGATTCAGAAATATACAGTATAGCTCATTCTCCTATAATAGGACTTAAGCATAGTTAGTCTTATTCCAAGTTATAGTTTCTTTACCAATTTATAACCCTTTCTACAAGTATTATGTATTTTAAAAATCCGGTCAAACTTAGGTGATTGGAAATTTAAAAGCTGGTTTATTTTGAATGTATAATCCATGATCATCTATAGAAATAATGTTTAAAGTGGTGCTTCTTAAAGTAGAATTTTCAAAAAGGTAAAGTTAGTACTTATGCAAATAAAAAATGAATATGTGTTGAAGACTTGCAACTCATTAGTTAGTGAAGGAACCAGTAAAATGTAAAAAACAGTTCAAAAAGCCTTTGAGAAGCTAGATACATAGTTTCATAAATTGCTGGCTTGAGATAAAAACTGGTTAATTTACAACAGTGCCATGAACTAATCTTTGGGGTTATCTTTTCCATTGGTCAGAAATTATTTCTGTCTCTATTTGACAGAATTCTAGAAGTTGACCTCTGCCCCTAACAAGTTGTAAAACAGCCCAGTAACGGAAAGTCAGCCCAGTGCTGTACTCAAAGAACACCCAGTTAGGCCTTTGCTATTTGTACATTCCAGATACATTTTCTGACATGATTGCTTTCCTAGATGACAACCCCCAGGAGTCTGAGCCTGATAGTTTTGATTTCTGATTTTCTAAAACACTGGAAGATTCCTTTCTCCTGTCTTTTTCTCCTACCTTTCCCTCTTTTGGTGGCGTAGGAAGTTTCCCTTCCCCCTGTGGATTAGTGTGGATTTGTTCTCTACTTTTGCATCGTGGAGCAGTGGCAGCATTAGAGGTTTCCTTAATCAAGGATGTATGTGAGTGCCCCTCCACTGGTATTTTCTTCCAGAAATCTAATAAGGGGAAGAAGATGGGATAGTAATAGGGCCCAGGGGGTAGGAAGTGGGGTCAGGAATTTCAAGACAGTCCATGAGTAGACATTTAAGGTGTATGTGTCTTGGGAGGTCGTCATTATGGTAGCTCTTGGAATATTTGGGTTGCAGGGCTTCTTTTAGTTCCTACAGAGATGTAGGTAGATTAGCTTTAGAGGTCTAGTACTTAATGCTAGCACTTATATTTACTGGAAATTTTTACTTTTTAATTTAGACATCTAAACAGATTTGAAGAATCTTTTTTTCTGAGCATTTTGTGATTACTATGTAAAAGGTTATGTAGTTATTAGAAAATTTTGATTTTATTATTGCTTCCATATCTCTACAGGATCTTCTTGGACATCAATTATATTGGTAGCTCAGAGCTAAAATCTGTTCAACTTCTACATTTTATATATCTCTAAACTCAAAGTGTGTTCGCTATAGAAAATACATTGTTTTTGTCTCATTAGATTAATTTAACAACCCCTAATGGTTTGCTCTCTGAAATTTGAAAAACACTGGCTTAAGCAAAGAGCATAAGAAAGAGAGAAGAGTTGAGATCAAAGAGGAGTGTGTTCCGTGGCAGTGGAGGGGTTTGAGTTGTGAATCATGAAATGTGCTGTAAACCATTTCAAGGAGTTTAAATTTTATGCTAAGAACAATGGGAAGACATTGCAAGTTTTTAGGCAAGGGAGTGACATGTAGAACTTTCCTCATTTTGTGTTTATGACTTTTGATTAGATTGGGGTTATGCATTCTCAGCCAAATACTGCACAAGTGGTGATGTGTCTTTCTCAGGGTATCATATGTGGAGCTCATGATGGCTGTCTGTCTCTCATAGGTGATGTTAATTCTGATCATGCAGTCAAGGTCTTGTCCCATTTCTTTGCTATGTTTTCCCTCCCTTGCAATTAA